CCAGCTCCTTGAGTACCCTGGGGTGTAGATTGTCAGGGCCGGCTGACTTGAAGGTGTCCAGCTTCTCAAGATGTTCCTTCATGAGGTCAACATTTATGGAGGTCAGGGAATTTCCCTCACCCGGACCTCCCTGTCCTGTAGCAGGCATGGGCATCCCATGGGACTGATGAAAGACTGATGCAAAGTACCCATTTAATAGGTTGGCTTTTTCCTGGGTGTCAGTTGTCAGTTGTCCCATCTGGTTCAGCAGGGGTCCAATGTTGCCCTTGCTTTTCCTCTGGCTCCCCACATATCTGAAAAAGAACTTTTTATTGTCCTTGATGCTCAAAGCTTGTTGGAGTTCAGTTGCAGCCTTGGCTTTCCTGGTTTGCTCCCTGCAGGACCAAACCAGTGCAGAATAATCCTCCTTGGAGGTGAATCTGGTCCTCCATCCTTCGTAGACCTTTCTTTTTAGCCTCAGGAGGTCTGCTAGGTCCCTGGAGAGCCAGGGGGCCTGCTGTGCCCTCTTGCTGCCTTTCTTCCATTTGCTCATGTGGGTTTTCTATTAATATTCCGTTGTTTTGTATTCCTCCCTCCCTCTTTGATCAATAAAGCCAACTGTTATAGCATGCCTTGCTCTAATGCTTATGAGGGTGAGGATAGCCTTTAGAGCCCCCTTTGCTCGGCTGGCTAAGGTGGGTGTGGGATTTTTACTTTCCTCCAGTACAGGAGGCTACTTCTGAATGCTTCAGGCTAAAAGGAAGCACCCCAAAGTACCACAGTGGGTTAAAAGCACCCCCAAGGTCTACAGGGTCTGTGTACCCTGGCTGCACAGAGCCCTAACAAAGACCCAGGCCTGGGTGGTAGCAATGGTTACCCCAGGCTTGCGGGTGCGCTCCAGGGTGGGGTGTGGCTGAACGTAGGCACCCCCAGGGAGACACCCAAAGCATGGTTTTTGGTTGGGCGCAGTGAGGTGGGCAGCTCAGTGCAGAAGCGCCCCCGACTGGCCTGCCACACAACTTTTATAAAAAGGTTACATGAATATATTGTCTGAAATAGTATATAATTAGACGTTATAATCCCTATTCCATGATGATATCTTCAAGCTTTAACATATCTTATATTAAAACCATCTGTATATAGGGGTTTTTTTTTAAAAGCATCTTAACAAAAGATGATTAAATAAAAAAAAATCTGATTTTTATTTATTTTTTTTAATTGTTGATTTTTATCCACCCTGGTATTTTTTCAAACTCTCACAAATGGTAAGAGATTGCCTAATCAAAGAAGAGTAAAAATTATTTTTTGAACTTTAAGAGAAGGAAACTAAGGGGGATGTGGACAACCTTGAAAGGGTCCAGAGGAGGGCCACTCATATGGTTAGGGGCCTGCAGGCAAAGCCCTATGAGGAGAGATTGAGGGCCCTGAATCTCTTCAGCCTCCACAAGAGAAGACTGAGAGGTGATTTTGCAGCCGCCTACAAATTAATCGGGGGGGACAGGCAGGAATAAGAGGCGCTCTGTTTAGCAGGGCACCCCTTGGAATAACTAGGAACAATGGCTTCTTTACAGTAAGGGTTGCCAAAATCTGGAATGGGCTTCCAAGGGAGGTGGTGCTCTCCCCTACCTTGGAGATCTTTAAGAGGAGGCTAGACAGCCACCCAGCTGGGGTCATCTGACCCCAGCACTCTTTCCTGCCCAGAGCAGGGGGCTGGACCTGGTGATCTGCTAAGGTCCTTTCTGACCCTAGCATCTACGAAAGGCAATATACACTTGATTGGAATATTCTACTGTGATCTATTCTTACGAAAAGTATTTTTGTATGTACACAAAACACAAACATATCTGTGTCAACCTAACACACACACACACACCACAACTGAATAATTCAGTGCATGCATATTCAATTAAAAACCCAAAACACTGGTAGTTTACTTTTCTGTTTTGTGTCTGTAAAATGGGCTGAGAGTTTTGAATGGAGCAATTTCAAAGTGAAAAATTAACAAAGGTCAAAAGCATGACAAAGATCTGAAGGCCACATTACATGTTTCCTAGTTGGACAATAAGTAATAAAACCCCCAAATTATGAGCAACACTTTGCCTTCTATTCATATCTTTTGTCACCACCTAAAAAAATCCTCTTCCCTCTGTCAAATCACTTTGCAAACCAAAGGATGTAAGGATAGAACCTGGCAGCCCAACGTTCCAGAAGAAGGTGGCTGGGTTTGACTTGACAGTGTGATGAATTAATAATGACTGTGTGTCATTTCCAATTATCTGGGCAATAACTCAATGTAACAGCACCTAACTTTGGCTCAGATTAACTCTGAGCTTCCACACTACATGCTGGTAACAGCAGACGTAGCTCTAGCAGTTAGTCCTATTTTCCTTCTTTTTTTGTCTGAGAAGATTTTTAGATATTAAATGTCAGAGTTTGTGACATGCTCTCTCTATAACAGGGTTGATGAATGGGATGAACAGCCAGAGCAGATGTAGATCCAGTGTGTGGGGGACCCACAGACACCCCCTGCTGCCATGTGCGTGTCTGCTCTGGCAAGTCTGGGACTGCACTCCAGGCAGGACCTACGTTGCATGTGGCTAACATCCCAGATGAGCCAGAGCAGGCACTAAGTGCAGTTGGTGCACCATACAGGACAAAGCAGGCACCACCGTCCCAAAATGGCTGGAATGGCACTGCCTGCGACACACCCTGGGCCCTGTGTGCAGGGCCAGTCAGATGCATGCCACTTGGGTCCATTATGAGACCCAGGGACAGCACTGGGGCAGATAAAGAGGCTCTGCAAGCCAGATCCAGCCCAGAGACTGTCTCTCTGACATTCCTGCTCTATAATAATAAGGACTCTTCTAAACCTATGCCTAAGCAATGTCAGATGCCTGTCACTTGAATCTTATAAGCATAATGAAGACAGCTGGAGAAAGCAGGTCTTCCTTATTAGCAGCCTAATAACATTATGTAGTAACGTGCCAGGCAAAACACATGTTAATGCTCTACAGGGCAGTAGTATTAGGCTACTGTGCAGATAGCATCTAAAAAAACCTGTGCACCATCACTACTGTGCAGTAGTGCCAGTTACTGTGCATTCACATTTAGTACTAAGCTTAATGTGCAGTAACTACAGCACATTAATGAACATGTAGATGAGTCCATTGAGGACAAAAAGCATGAAGGTCCAAAGAGCCCCAGTTCTTCCTTTGCATTGCATCTACTGAACAAGTGGAGATGTCATTCTTTCTAGGCCTCTGTAGGTACACGGGAACAGGAAACCTCCTTAGTCCAACACCTCTAAATCCTATCCAAGCTTACTGCCAAAAACAGCCTTCTTCAGTTCGGAACAGCTGAGGTCTGTAGGAGGAAAATCCCACCATTGAGCCCTGCGCTCCCTATGCTGCTCTGGACTGCCAACCTGGAGCTTTTCTGTGGCCAAGGTTTTTTTGTTTTAGTTTTTGTTTTACTGCACTCTCTAGGCATAGTAACTCTGACTGACAGGCTACCTGCTACGCCAACTATTTTTATGTTCAGTTTTTTTTTTCCATGCTGCTCTCAAATATTCACTATGCCATTGATTTTTTGTATAAAAAAATGTAACCAGCACTGTAGAAGCCATTGTAGCAGGAGAAGTGTGGACACTGAGGCTTTAGGCACTCAGGAAGTAGTGCAGGGCTTATGGTCCTGGAGATGCTGAATTTATTTCCTCTTCCCATTTTGGGCTGGGCCATTTTTTTCTGGCAGAGGGATGGAAATGTGGAAGGTTGAATAACTTAGCCTTGACCCCAGCAACTCCTCCTTATACCTCTTCCTGACTTTTGCCAGAGGCAATGCAGGCATCAGAAATGTGGACAAAGACTCTACCCTTCAGCCTTTAAGGGTGTGAACAAATCATGTTTTCCTGTTCCACTTCTGCCTCCTGTATCTCATTAGGAAGGAGAAGGGCACAGCAACCATAAAATGCCACTCAACCTGCAATCAAAGGCACTTGTATACGTTTAGTTCAAAGTACATTAATCTTAACTCTCTCTCCTTTGCAGTACGGCAAAAACTGGAATCACTTCCAGCTGTAAGTGACCTCACAGGGTAGCTACCAGAATAGCTTGTTTTACATCACCCTAAGTTTCCACCTATCATTTGTCTGTCCTATTTCACTTCCTGTGCTTGTGTACTTTGCAGTTACCATTTTTCAAAATTACATCAGGAAATGTAAGTATCACAGAAATTTGATCGGTCTTCCTGAATCATTAATGACAATAAAAAGTGGAGATTTGCCCGCAGACCCTCTCCTACTATATGCCTCAGGCTTAATCAGCATTGACTGCAAATGTTCTCTATTTTCTATAGATAGCCACTTGTGTGTTCCAAGCCCCAGTGAAATTTTTACTTGGGCAAGAATCTATCACATGGAGCTTTTCAAAGGCCTTCTGAAAAATACCAGTTTTAACCTGGGTATTTTCTATATTGAGCTCTATACACAAAACTGCCTAAAAAGAGGACATTTAAAAAATAAACCATTTTCCTTCTCTCTAAAGTTATGATGTCAATTTCCGATAGGATGTACAATATACAACGGAAGCCCAGCTGAGTCATGAACAAAGGTCGTATGCCTTCAGCTACTCACATTTTTGTGCTGTTCAGTAAGACTATTTCCTGAAGTGCACAATTGCAACTGACTTGTTGTGCAAAACTGGGCAAGTCACTGCCCTTCTCTGAGCCTCCACTTTCCTCCTTTCATTTGATCTGTCCTGTCCATTAAGACTATAAGCTCTTTGCTGCAGGGACTCTCTCTCACTACGTTTATGTACAGTGAAACAAGGCGGCCCCATTCTGACACTACTTTAAAATAAGCAATAAAGAACACATAGACTAGTTGTCTAAGAAGACCTGATGTTACTTTTACAGGATACATTTTCACACTTGACACGTAATCCAGCCAGCCACATTCTTTATACTGAATCATCCCCCATCTTGGAGGATAGTGAAGTAAGGGACTTTATGTTCTTGAGACCTACCTGTGTCATTGCCAATACAATCTATAATCAGACATATTCCTAAAGGCTGACTCTGCATTCTGTACTGATCATCAGGCACCTGAAATAAGTGAAAGGACAAATATTTATTGCATTGCTGTGTTTGGTCCTCCAATCTACAGACTTGCTCCTTTTTAACTTTGCTTACCCACAGAAGTGGCCCCTTGCTGCCTTGCCCCATCAGTTTTGCACAGAGTAGCTAGCAAAAGTATATGTGAAGATCCTACAGCAGACACACTGAAAGGACCAACTGCTTTCTGTGACGGGAAAGTTCAGGAGACACTGGTTTATGGATTTTATTTTATTCTATTATTACAGGGCTAACTTCTGTCCTTCACTCTATGAAACCTAGTTGCCTTTCATGGGGTTGAACCAGCAACGAAAAAATGCTAACTTTAGGCCAGACTCACCTGCCTTGGACTTTAGCATACAACTAGTATATTTCCCACAAGCACAACTGATTGATCCTATCAGATGTGCAGGAAGATAATAATGCAAAAAGAGAATGTATGTATTCAGCTTTGTCTGCATGGAAGTTAAAGATGTCTTCAAAAACATCAGACAAAGAGCTTAACGTGTACATTATTTTTTTCTTTTTCTTTCTTTCTTTCTTTCTTTTTTTTTTTTTTT